AGATCTGTTTGAAAAGGTAATCTCCAAAAAATAAACACGAATTTCATCAATGAGAAAAAATAAAATTGAATACTACATAAATTAATTGCAGGGGAACAAGATATTTATTACAGTTGTAACGTTTCATCCATGAGTAACATAACAAAATTAGCTTTTCTGACCAAACTTTACAAATCAAACTATCAATTCATATTTTTTTATGATCGATATTTTTTTTCTAGAAAATAGTTCTAGTGAAAACAAAATTTTTTCAGCTTAAGTGTGGGAGCTCTAGCTCAGCCTTAAGCTTTGGCTTTACCTAGTAGCCCGGGCATGTTCCTATTCGAACTTTGAACGTCGGGAGGGTTTAGGCCATTATCATTGAGTGCCTGCCCATATTTTGGCGAAGTATTTCGTTTTCAGCACATATACTTCAGGATTAAAGTCCACTGGACAGCAAATATGGCACTTTTTGTGAAATGCACCTTTTACATATGTTTTTTCAAACTAAGGTTTGGCACCCTAATGTGTGTGCAAGCACTGGCAGGATTTGCATGGACTTCTTGGATATCCGTTGGTAAGTTTAACACACTAAAAATTACTTTATTGTAAAACCGGCTATGTTACACTGGCAGTCAGAGACAGAAGTGCTAAGTTATGGGCTGAGTTATGAAATGACATTTTTAAAGAAATATAGTCAAAAACGTTTTGGTGAAAATTTTTATATAGTTAGCTGTGCTTTTAACAAGTGGAGTGCGCGTGACCCACATTGTGTGTCTCCATAACATGGGAATGCCTCCTCTCGCCACACCTGAGGTGTTGGTTTGTTGGATTATACAAATCAGTTTATTAGGTTTGAGTATCTAAATTTGGCTTTTCTTCCATTCAGGGATTCAGGAATCGTTCTAAAGGAATGTGTTGAAGCTGCCAGGTATCTGTTAAAAGATCCAACTCCAAGGAGCCCTTTGAATGTTGATGCAGCAATACTTTTTGAAGACCATGAAGACATGTACTGGGCTACTGCCAAGGCATGGACCAGAATTTTTGCTGATGGTAACATGGAGCAAAGCGGTATGGAGTAGAAGCTTTATCGGCCTGGGGCCCTGCGCTCCTGCAATTCAATGGATTCTTTGAATGAAAATTTAGCAAAATTCTGTGAAAGTGAGGTCACTCATTTTTCTTAAATTGCCATTCACACTTTAATTGGAAATAGCCACGTTCCTTGATTTAATGTACTTATTATCCATTTCAGTTGCTACCTGGAGTTACGCTACTCAATTAGAGTTGGTGCATACATGCCTAGCCAACAAAGAGTACGACAAGCCAGTAAGACATTCTCAATTTTAGGAATTAGTTAGTAAAAATTTGTATTCTAACAGATTTTATTACAAACCTGAACAATGCCGAACGAAAATGGATACACTCTTAAGTTTGCATAAAAATTTCAAAGATGCAAACGGGACAGGGAAACCTCATCCTCTTCAGAACGGTTACAATTTAAACGATGTAAAGCTTTTTGAGGTTCTGTCAGAATTGCTGGACGGAAATGTAACTGCAGAACCAAAAGTTACGTACTCCACTGGCTTCAGGTCGCAGCTCTAGCTGGCGGTGAGTGTTGAGTGTATCAATTTTTCTGACCATCTTTAATGGTATGGACAGTGGATAAATGATTCTTCTTATTCCAGAGCAAACCTTCAAGCAAAAGCAAACCTACTGCATCTTCCCAAAGATCTTTCCGAGTGGGTTCTAGGTAACGGCCCCTTGTCCTTAAAGGCCGTCAAACCAAACACGAAAGGCAGATGCAATCCCAGGAGAAGAAGGCAGACGCAATGATGATGTTAGCCACAGCATTTGCTAAGAAGCTTAATTCAGCAGGGGTAAAAACTAAAAATGGATTAAGGAAGACATCTAATAATGTAATACAGAAAAAACTAAGAATGGAACACGAAGGAAAACTATACATGAAGATGATGAAGATTATGATGAAGTTGATAATGAAGATGATGAGTACGAGGATTTCGTAAATGAAGATTACAATGACAATAACTGAATTGATCTCGACCTTTTCCTTTGATGGCGATGAAGATTACAATGTTTGACTGGATTGATCTCGACCTTTTACTTTCTGTGACCTTTGATATTTATGTAGTTAATTTTGTGATATCAGCGTAAGTTCCCTAGTGTAATTTTGTTATGGCTACATGTGCACTTGTAGTGATTTAAAATTATATCAGAGATTCTTTCTTTTTCTTATTTTCTTATTAGCAAGATGTTAGTAGTACAAATATATATAATTTTATTTTAAAAATTCTTTCTTTTTGCCCTGCCTGTCTAAGACTGTCAATTAAAACAACCAAAGCTGTAGCTAAATTTGCAACACACAATTTCAACAGAATAAGTGGAACACTTTACTTCAATCCTTGAGCAATGAAATCCCTCTTCAACCGTCCATTTTGTTTTGACACATTGATGAGGTGCTGGAGATCAATATCACTTTCAAAATCTTCAAAAAGCACTTCCTAGAAAGATAAAGGCACATCAAGGCCTATACAGCTTTACATAACTTTCATTCATCTATGACTGCTTCAAACACTGACCTCAACTGGATTTCCCTCCAAAATGATAAAATTATGGAGGACAGCACAAGCCGTAATGCTGTCAACTAAGTACTCAAAGCAGTAATTGTGGAATAATTTCAGTCTCCGCCACTTGCCTTTTAAAAGTCCAAAAGACCTCTCTATAGAGGCCCTACTTCTGGATAGATAAGTGCACTTTTTGGATTCTGGTAAGGTTGCCGTTGTCTCTGTATGGTATTATTAGCTGAAAGGAAATTAGAATATTGTATTTGGGAAAGGTGAGAATTGAATGAAGGCAATAAAGGTGATCTGGATATACCTTGTCAGTTAATGTGTATCCTCCATCACCGATAAGGTGATGATCGTATACAACATTAGGATCTCTGGAGATCTGTTGGCCTAGTGGACTCCGTGCAAAAGTTCTCTTATCTCCAACACTTCCAGGTTGCCCAACAGATATGTCACGGAAGAGAAGTCTATGATCACAAAATCCCTGGAGCAGGATGGAATAATTTTTCTTCCTGTCAAAATACCTTTGTGCCTGCTCAATAGGAGCAGTTATGTTCAGGTGGCACCCATCAATGCAGCCGACTACACCAGGATAGCCATACAAATCTTCAAACATTGCAGAAATGTATTCTTGTTCCAGTTCACTTGGCCATTGAATGTACTGTGGGGACATTTCCCTTAGTGCCTCAATGATATACTTGTAATGAAAATGGAAAACACCTTCTGACACCCCAAATTTAACTCCAACAGAGCGAAAAGAGTCAGGGGTTGCCAAAATCAACAGGACCATCAGTAAAGCAAATGTCAAGGCCTTTACGGCTGCGTCTTTTCCACCTTCCATTAGTTTCAAGGTGGTGGCCAATTAATACCAGCAGTATCTGAAAACATGATCAACTTTTGGGAAATTGTACATTAAAAGTTGGGCAAGATCTTCCTTCAAATTTATAACATTATTCTAATTCAATCCGCGACGGATGTATTTTAAATCGTGTCCGAAGACATACCAAATGTACTCAAGGCTATTGCATAAAAAACAACAAGCCCTGTAGATTCAAGTTTCCGCAAGAATCTCCTGTTCTAAAAAGTTATATCTCTTCAGAAGGTGGTGAGATGAAATTTATTCCTGCTCGTAATGATGACAGATTGAACAAGTATTATGAATATCTCATTATGATTTGGCGTGCCAACATGGACATTGCCCCTGTCTTATCAAAAAATGCTCTTGTAAATTATCTTGCCAAGTATGTTGCAAAGAATGAAAACTGCTCCTCAGGATTCAATGATCTAATTGCAGTAATTTTTGGTGAGTCACCATTCACTATTAAAAGTGTTGTGCAACGGTTGTTCATCAAGGCTATTTCTGAAAGGGATTATTCTGCCCAGGAGGTTGGGCGTATTCTCATGCAAAATGAGCTGGTCAGTTGTAGTCGGAATTTTGTTTATGTCTATCTCAATAATGATGTAAAGAGGATTAAAGTGGCAACAAACAACAACAATGCTAAATGTGGTAGGTCTATTGTTCAAAAGTATATGAACAGATCTGAAGATTATGAAAATATTAGTTTATGGTTAATGGCACAATCTTTTGATTTTTCAAAACAACGTAAGCGTACTAACAAAGCTATTGTGTCAGTTGTTCCAAAAATTTCTTATAAATTAAGCAATTTGAACAATGAAAATTATTTTAAACAACAAGTGATTTTACATGTACCCTGGAGAAGTGATCAAGATTTTCCCACTGACGTAATGACATGGCAAGAGATATATGATTTACATAAGAGTGTAATTGAACAACACAAAAATCATCTTGGTCTTGATGGGTTAGTTGCAGCAGTTGAAGATACAGAATGTGATGTAGATGCTGCAGACACTGCTGAATATATTGCATCAAGAGAAGAATGGATGGCTATTTCAGCAATGCGACCCACTCAAGTAACGGAAGAAATCCAACTGGGCAATAGATCAATTGACAATTTCAACTGGCACCAGTTATATGACAAGTACAAGGACTTCTATACCATAAGTGAGTTGCAAACTTTTATTGCCACTTCAAAGGGCAATTTTGAAACATCTGACGATGACATTATCCCTTTTCCGAATGTGCATTTGAATGTTGAGCAAGAGAAGATATTGTCTTTGGTCAAAGACCAAATTGGAGTTATTGTTGACTCTAGCAAAGCTTGTGGTAATGTACCTAAAACAGTTGTTGTACAAGGTTCAGCAGGAACTGGGAAGAGTACCGTAATTCAAGCAATTACAAATACAATTCAATCTACATTAGGTGTGGATTCAGTGCTTGTTCTAGCTCCTACTGGTGTTGCTGCTGTGAACATAAAAGGTTCCACAATTCACTCAAGATTGTTTATTTCATCCATGAAGGAGTTTGCAGATCTGACCAATGAAGCAGCAAGAAAATTTTGCAACAACATGAAAAATGTTAAATTTGTGATAGTAGATGAATACAGCATGGTAGGATGTGGAATGCTCGGGATGATTTACTTAAGACTACGACAAGCCACAGGAAGACCTAATGATTTATTTGGTGGATTAAATGTGTATTTTTTTGGAGACGTTGCTCAGTTGCCTCCAATTTTCTATACACCATTGTATGCTGATAAAGTCCCAAACACACTCATGTGTCAAATAGGGAAAACAGCATGGGATAACACTGTTAAAAATTTCTTGGGAATTCCCGAAGATTCACTTTCTACCACTATAAGAAATTCCCAGAGGACTCCGTTCTTAGTTTTTTGTGTACTAAAACAGATTTTAAAAGGTGAAAGTTTTCATTCGTCTACATATTACGAAGCTAAACTCGACACGTGAAATCTACAAAGTTCTTTGGGAAATCCCAAAGGACTTTGGCAATACTTTTCACGACTGTTCCTCCGTGAAATCCCAGGATTTTTTTTTAACAGTGAACATTTCATGTTGTATAATGCTGAAAGAAGTACATCGCCAGTCAGATCCAACATTTTTTAATTTACTGAAAAATGTGAGTCAAGGCAAAGTAACAACTGATGATTATGAATTACTTCAAAGCAGATTTTTGACAAAAATCAGTTGTGCAGAAGAAAATAAGTTCAAATCTGCCATTCGGTTGTTTCCTAAAAAGGATGAGGTTCAAAACTTAAATTTAGCATGTTTGAGAAAAGCTGTATCGGGAGAAAATAATGATCCAGTCCCCTTGACCACAATTAAATCCAAGAATAATAATGAAGAGGCTAAGAAAGCAACTTCTGACACTGCACATGGTTTATTGAATATGGCAAATTTAGGAATATCTTGCAAAGTTATGCTCCGAGCCAATTTGTGGACAGAAATGGGTTTGGTGAATGGATCAATCAGAACTATTGCTGATATTATTTATGAGCCTGATGCAGATCCCACAAATGATATGCCAGCTGTTTTTATATGTGAATTTGATAATTATACTGGTCCATGTTTAGAGATTGAAGGTACCCAAAAGCGTCTTGTACCAATTCCAATAATAACAAGAACATGGCGTTCCCAAAGTGGTACATCATGTTCTAGGACTATGTTTCCTTTACATCCTGCTTATGCTGTCACCATTCATGAGGCTCAAGGCTTAACTTTATCTATGGTATGTTCCTCATGAAGGTTGTTACAAATTTATTCATAGTATTTTGTATGCATATTGATCAACTTTATCAAAATTGTTGCAGGCTGTCATTAACATTGGAGAGGAAAGAGAACTGTCTCCTGGCATATCCTTCGTGGCATTGTCCAGGGTAAGGAGACTAGAGAGCCTTATTTTAACTCCATTTTCAAAAGAAAGGATTTTTAAAATAAACAAATCAAAAACACTAAATCTCAAAAATGAAGCTTTGGCAAAACTGTTGGTAAAATCCGTTTTACTTAAGTAATTTGCTTATTGGTATGTACAAATGTATTTTTTTTTTATTTAAGTAATTTTGTTTGTGTATTAGCTACTGGAATGAATTCTTTTGGCCATGGTAATCAATTAAAATAGCTTCATTTGCAATGACTTCATTGACCTGTGTAAACAGCAGCACACACAATCCTAAAAGTAAGATGAAACTGTCGCAGGCTTGACGAATAATTGTGTGAAGCAGTGATAGCTCTTTAGGGTATCAAGGCATGTCCTCCTCATGCCATATATACAATTTTATAGTAAAATAATAGAATAATTCAACTCAGATATTGAGTCCAAAAATCCTGTGTGTGTGACACCATCGTCAGTGGTGCTCGGAAAAAGCGGAAAGGAGAGAAAGAAAAGAGGAAAAGGGAAGGGAGTGGGAAAAAGCGTGGGAGAATTGAAGAAATTCGTAAGCTTGTCCATCAGCTTCTCTCTGTTGACGCTAGAAGGCGCTCTTGCCCTTTCCCGCTCTTTTCCGCACTCCCTTTCCTCTTCCTACTTTCTTCTTCTCATTTCCGTTTTTAGCGAGCAGCACTGACGCCGGTGTCAGATTCTTCTCCGTTCGTCGCCGAGTTCAGGTAAGAACAGTACCTTTACTGCCTGCCCTCTCTCCATTTGTCGGCAAGATGTCAATCCAAGCGTTTCTGAACGATTTTCCTGCTCTTCCGCCTCAATTGCTCTTATATCTTAGATTTCAATTAGCTTGTAACTATCTCTCTGTTAAAAAGCTCAAAGTCGGACAAAGTGTTGCTCTTCCGGGTTCTTGATGGACTAGTTGAATGTAGAGAGATTGGTAATATAATTTAATTTAAAGGGATGTTGCAATAAATAATGGGGAGTGCAAATATCTAGAAAGATTGAGCTAATTTATTTAGCTAATGAGCCAAGCGAATACAAAGTACAGAAAAGTACAAAAAGGCTCAATACAGAATGAGTGATTTAAAAGCATAAACGCTTACACTCACAAAAACAAACGCAGATACACTGCAAAACCCTAACACGATACAGGGATGCTACTCAGAGCATAAACGTTGAATGAAAGACACTATACAACAGTGTGGTTCAACGAATTCAATACCAGAACAAACGCTATAACCAGCGTATCAAACAACTATGAATGTGGGCCCACAACAATACACATACAAAAATACAAAATACAAAAATACGAGTACACAGTACAAAATCACAAAATCAGACGGCAGCGCCGAACAGACTCACCCGAGTAGTGTCGAACTTCGGTTTACAACCTTCACTTTCACACATACACACAAGGGCAGTAACACTGCATACACAATGAAAAATAGAGCAGTTATACACTGCAAAAATTGTCTAAAACATTGAACAAGAACGACTGTCACAGAGCTGACAGACGCCCCAGCTGGGCGACCGACGCGGAGGCAGCCGAAGAGGTGGGGCAGCGAGGGGGGGAGGGGGGGGGGGCGCTGCTCAGCTGAGCGCAACATCATGGCGGTGGTTCGCCCGGCGGCACAGCCGCACGGGCAGTCGGCAGGCGAAAAAGGGCCCATTGGCGAATTAGCTTAGCCGCTCATCGCGGCAAGCAAAAATATGGCATAGACAAAAAGCCCTGCGGAAGAACAAAGTATGGCGTCAGAAAACAGACCGGAAGCGTAAACAACGTGGGGCAGGTCGAGAGAAGAAACATACCCGAAGGGCGGGTTGTTGATGCCATTACGGACGACGAGAGAAACGGAGGAAGCAGCAATTGAAAACACAATTGAGAACAATTCGAACCAGAAAACTAGTGAAACAGCGCAACCACGCGCAAACGAACCGAACCGCGACGGACAGAGTCGGGCCGGCCGTACCACTCCTCTCTCGCTCCGTGACTGACGGGCTAGACGTGCCGGCGGACTGGCGTGTTTGCCGCCGCCGCCGCTTGGTGGCGCCACTTGTGCCGCTGTGCCGACTGGACGGCGCGCTGGAGGCGCGCGCGAATTTTTGAAACGGGCGGAGGATGGACAACCCGTTACAAGCTCCATACGAACCCTTGCCCATAACTGTGGTTAATAAGTTGAGGGAGTTGTTTAATTTACATGGCGAAAATAATATCGTTCAGAAACTTATACAATTCTTCAACACTGAGGACTCTATAACAGAGTTTGAGTACATCAGTAAAATTTTGTATGAGGGCATGGGAAGGACTTGCATAGAGACCCGAAGGAGCTGACATTGTAAGCACCGCGACAGGCAAGACTGTGATGCTCTGATTGACTTGTCGCGAAGGATGTTGGATGCTGCTGTCGAATATGTCGAAAAGGCGTTAGATAACGAAGCTATTTTTATTAAATGGCCGTTGCCGGAGGAGGAGGAAGAGGGTCTGTCATTGGATCAACAGCATCAATTGCAGAAGTGCATATGTTTGAGAAATGTTCTATGTTAACATGTTGAGAGCACATGGTGACCATTCTTTGCTGGATATTTCTATCTTTTGATATTGCCCTGGGATTCAAGGTGGTAATTTATTGCATGATGTCATCTTGTGTTTTTCTATTTGTTTCTTGACTGATGTGTGGAATGAGGGTGAGCATGGGGAAGTCACATGTAAAAGCATAGTGATTTCTGCTTTCTTCTTCCTCGCATTCTTCTGTATTTCAGCTTTATCGGAATGCTTTATTACTATTACACCGTCAAGTATACCATATATGTCCCAAAACATTTCTTGCTCACCCTCCTTCCATACACCAGTAAAGAAACAAACAGAAAAACACAAGATGACATCAATGCACTAAATTACCACCTTGAATCCCAGGGCAATATCAAAAGATGGAAATATCCAGCAAAGAATGGTCACCATGTGCTCTCAACATGTGAACATAGAACATTTCTCAAACACATACACTAAACAATAAATCAGAATTCAACTTATAACATAAATGTTTTAAAAACAAATGGGCTGCTAAATGTTTTTACTTTCTATGCAATGCTGAAGTTGATCATTGTTGGTATTTCAGGTGCTTGAATTGTGCTTTAATCTTGTGTTCGGTGTCTTGTTTTTGGCTGGTCAACATGGAAGGTGTGTCTACCTTTTTGACATTTATTTTCTACTCGTTCTTTACCACACACCCTGTCCTAGTTGGTGATAGAACGAGTATTGTTCTTGGTGCAAGGTAATGCTTAACAAGATTGCACTTTACATTTTTCAGGCATTACTCCTGAGCTTTTTGCTAAACCAAACAACCTGACATTGAGGCACGCAAATTCTCTTGAGAGGGGAAATGTCTTCCAAGTAAAAGCGTTCTTTCGGCTGAAGAGTAATTACCCAGACAAGAGAACTAACAAAGACATTTATAAAACTGCTGTCACGTTCGAAGAATATACAATGCAGTGTTATATCTACTTGCCTACTAGTTTTGAAAATAAACCCGACAGCTACTTCTTAGAAATGAATCAAAAAATTCATGATGGGAAGAACATTCGGTTTGTCTTCTATGGAATTGTGTCAAGTGGGAATGTTATTGAAATTTTGGAAAATGGGGAAGGTTTGTATTTATTTTCATTTATCTTTTTTTAAAAAAATTGTTTTTGGAATTGGTATTAATCCTTCTCTTTTTTTTTCTTCCAGAAGTGAATGAAGTCAAATTAAATGGTATTCGAAAAATTGAGGCTATGGGGTCTTAATCCCAATAATCTTCTGTATAAAGCTTCAGCATCAAGATGTAGCAGAGCTACTTGTTTTTGTTTTTTTTCAATTTGATGTGAGATAGTCTTGAGACTAATTTTTATTTTGTATTTGCATGGGTAGGA